GAAGGTTAGTACCTCAAGAAGCTATCACTACTATAGATATAATTTAGAGACGCCTCCTTTTCTAATAAAGATGGCTTAATCTATAACCGTCTCTAAAAATGGTTCTCGAAACGATCCACCTCTATAGATGTATTTGTAGGGGGCAGCAGCTGCCCCAACAAACGACTCTATCTTTAGACGTGGCTGGATCTATAACCGTCTCTAAAAATAGGTGCAGCACATTAAAATTGATAACTTTTTCAAATAAAGTCGAATAGAGACAAACTTTATATCAAAGATGTATATCATGAAGAGATCTACAACTTTTTAGTTGACAACTTTTTCATTTAAAATAATCTGTATCTAGCAAATTCTGTTTGAAGTTCTCATATTTTGAAATTTAAATTTCTCGAGTTTTCCAAACGACCTTGGACGGAGAAGTGATCAAAACCAAAGTTATAGATCTCGAAAAGATATAAAACATCGAAGTCGATAACTTTTTCATTTCAAACAATCTATGGTCCAGAAAAATTTAGTTTGAAGTCCTCACATATTGAAATTCGAAATTTTCAAACAACATCAGATGGTGAAATAATAAAAACCAAAATTGCATATCTCTAAGATTTATACAACTTAGTACTTGACAACTTTTTGATTTGAAATCATTTATCTAAGAAAAATTATGTTTAAATTTCTCACATTTAAAATTTAAATTTTTTAAATGGCCTTAGGTTGCTCCAGCGACGGAAACCAAAGCTCTAGTAATCAACGATATCTACAACTTTGCAAATGAAAACGTTTTCATTTGAATTCATTTTGGGTGGCAAATGCATATTTCAAAATCGGGTAAAGTGAATACAAGGGGAGTAAATATTCTTTACAGATTCAAGTGACTTTGGGGGTGAAATGGTTATTGGATTAAAAGAAGTACTATCTTTTTGCTTGATTTATGATTTTTGGGAAACGATTTGTAAAGGCGGCACACCGACGTGGGTGGGCCACAATGCAAGTGCCCTCGGTGCTGGCTCGGCAGCCCTAGCGCAAGCAGCCTTGGTGCAACGACTCTGAGGATGGGAAGGACCCGGTTAGTGGGTCCCAGTACAGTGAGTGCGGCGCGAGAGAGCGGCGCAACTCTCTAGCCCAGATCTACGAAAGGGAAGCATATCCGGCAGTGGCCGGTGAGGATGCAGACATAACTGTACAAGCAGGGCAGGCGTGGATGCGGACGGATGCCAACGGCCCGGCGCCGATTATTTGCCCTGTGTGCTTGGCTAATAAGGCATGACTGAAAGTACTGTTGGCTGATTTGTTGTGAGAGAAAAATATTGTTCGTTGGCTGGCTTATAAGCCAAGCGAACAGGATGATTGTTTAAGAAAAATTAATCCGTTTTCACTGCTAGTTTAATCCGGTGGTGATAAAGCTGAGCATCACCACCTAGTTTCACCGTCGCTGCACTAAATCGGCGGTGACATGGTTTTCGAGCCGATGGTGAAAATAGTTCTATAGTAGTGTTAGAAACCGGAATAATAACTGGTGATTGCTATAAAACTGACGGTAATAATTCAAGAGGAGTTTCGGAGACAAATTCAAGAATGCCTCTAAAAAATATTATAGGCAGCCAGAAAATGCCTTTAAATGTTGATATTAAAAGGCATTCTGAAAAAGCTTCTCAAAAGATCTTTTACTTCCATGTTATAGGCGGCATTTAAAAAATGCCTCAAAAGATCTTTGAAGGCGATTTGACCACTTTTGGAGACATTTGTAAACGCCATAAACAACAATGCTGTAGTATATGTATGAGGATAGTGTTGCTTGTGTTATACAAATGCAAAAAGGTTACATCAAAAGCAATATAACTAAACATATTACTCCCAAATTGTTCTATTCTCATGAATTACAATAAGTGGGAAATCAATATCTTGCAAATAAAGTGTTGTGATAATATTACTGATTTATTCACTAAGTCATTATCACATACTACATTCCAAATATTTGTTCAAGGTATTGGGTAGCAATGACTTCAAGACTTGCAAACCAATTATGGCCTATAGACCATGCATGATATTGTTCTAAACTCAATTATGGGTTTTTCCTATAAAGGTTTTTCCATATAAGTTTAGAATGGACAATTATAATATAAAAATATGTCATATCATTTCTCATGATTTTTCCACTTAGTTTCTGAGAAGTTTAATGACGTGTCAATAGTATTATTACCTCATATTTTTCCTATAAGATTTTTGGGGGATTAAAAACCATTTGGTTGATCTTAAGACTGAATGCGATCAATAGGGATTGTTAAGAAGCAATGCATTGAGAAAAGGGATGGACCAGTAGGAGAAGGGTGATCACATCCACATGGGTTGAAGCCACGGATCATACCCACGGATTAGTGATGTGGATTAACTATTAACCGTAGATCCTAATCCTATGATTAGGATTCAGTCCCTTGTCAATTCCTGACTTCCCCGAACGGACGTCTTCCTATCCGTTCAGATTGTATATAGATTTTTTATTTCTACATATTGAATGATTACAATATTTATTGGATGAATATATTATTTTTTATGTGCTACACGTGTCATACACTTACTTTAATCTATGTTTGCAAATAGTACTCTTCTTGCAACATTATTGCTTTAAAATCCGAATGAACTAAAACAAGTAAATATCCGAATACAAATTCGAATCCGAACTATTCGTTTTGTATTTATGTTCAAGAACATTTGAAATTTTGAATCCATAATCGTATCTAGCCAAATATTTGAGATCGGACAACAGATATCTGAATTCTATCCGTATTCATTCCATTTTCACCCCTATATACATGTGCTGCTTGGCAATGGTCAGATCGTAATAGGTCAGCAGCAGCCTCAATATTTTTTTGTTAAGTTACCATTTGACATTAGGACTCTATTCGCTCGGAGGAATTTGGAGGAATCTGGAGGAATTTGTGAGAGGAAATCAGTCGTGAACAGTAAAATTCATCCGTGAATAGTGCTTCCTCCATACCAGCCGAGCGAGGCCTAGATCGTAATTCATACTTAACTATACTTTGGAGAAAGAAAAAAACGGTAATACTTGGTTTAGGGCGTCCGTCCATTGGATGGACCGACCCTCGCGGCGTGATGACCAAGAAAAGAAAAGAGGGGTGCGTGTTGCAGACACAGGGCTCGCACTTGTCCTTTTTCGTGTCAGCGCATGGGAGCACGTGTGACCTGCCCTCGATCGCCGCACGATGCCGTAGCGACTGGTCCGCCAGGCTGGGGCCCTCTAGTTTGTCCTCCACTTCACCTATTCCTCAACTACGCGCCCCCGCCAGGTGGGACTCCGTCATGCGCACCGGCCGCCTGTCAGTGTCGTCCGTCCAGAGTGGGTATGCGGTGGCGAAGGTTATGTTCCCTCTGCATCGTCATGCTTGGGGCGTGTGTGCTCGAGCGCACGGACCCAAGAGAGAATGGGAGTTCGTGAGAGGAGCACGGGTCCGCATCTACATGCGCCATTTGCTGCTCCTAGGTGACCGTGGGCATCGAGCTCCGCGTCGCCGTATGCATTCCATGTGTATGTTTCATCACGGTCATCAAGCTCCATGCCGGTATATGCGTTCCATGTGCATGTTTCATCCGGATGTTGCATGTGTTATATTTAGATGTTGCATATTTTTCAATGGCTATACACGTACGTTGCAAATGTATCTTCCAAATGTTTCAGTTGTTTCATCTCGATGTTGCATGTTTTTATCTGGATGTTGCATATGTTGCAATGACTATACATGTATGTTGTTAGTGTATGTTCCGAATGTTTCACCTGTTTCAGACGCAACTGCAAGTGTTTTATCTAAATGTTGTATATGTTTTAGACGTATGTTGCAAGTGTTTTATCTGAATGTTGCATATGTTGTAGTGGCTATACACATATGTTGCAAGTGTATGTTTCAATTTGTTTCACCTTGTTTTAGTACTCCCTAAAGAAAGTCGTTTTGAGGTTGTCTTAAGTCAAATATTTTAAACTTTAACTACAAATAATTTTTTTGTGTGTTGAGTTTGAAAATATAAAAGTCATGTAATTAGATTCAACTCAAAATGTAGTTTTATATAGCAAAAAAAAAGGGGGTCAAAGTTATTTTTTTAAGCTGTGTTGATGTTCAAAACGACTTTCTTTAAGGACATGAAGGGAGCGTGCGCTCTAACTCGCGAACATGCACGCGCTACATGCACCCAGCCAGCGCTGCCCATCTCTATCACGGGCCAGCTCCAACAATTGGACGTGCACGCAAACCAAACGACCAAGCACTCCCTGGTCAAAGTGCCTAAGCGTGCAGAGCACCAGAGTCTAACACATGACTACACACGCTGTGCTCCCTCTCTCTTGCATGCAGCTTGGCAGGCCCCCCGTACATGCTATAATTAGTGCAGATGTAAACAGGAAGGAGCAGTATCTCGGTCCACGTACATGTTATAATTAGTGCAGATGTAAAAAGGAAGGAGCAGCGGTCCTGGGTGTGGGCAGGCGCGGAGCGCAGCAGCAGCAAGAGGCGGCGCGGGGCGCAGCAACACATGATGGTCGACGCGTGCGCGTCCGGACGCTAGCATGGCCAAAAAAAAAAAACTCTTTTCCAACCCATCGATCGTTCTGGGCTGAAACTCTTTTGGAGCCTAAGAACCATTCGGCCACCACAATCAGAACGCAACGGGCATGAGATTGAGACCCGTCTGCAGGGCAAGCAAATGTACGTGGAGCACACAACGTACCGACGAGGCGACTACACCCATGCCTGTCCGATGGATGGTATTCGAGTGTTTTTCCTTATCAGAAATCCCTATCGTCCAAAACCGGCAAACATCATGTTCCTGTGTCAAACGCATGACAAGTGATTATTGCCAACTTGCCAAAGTACATCCAGAAATGCAAAGAAGAACATTCAGAACTCCACATGTCAGCACGGCAAGTGACCTGAAAACACAAATTTTCCCAAGTTCATGTGTCAGCATGTTGGATTGTGCAAAGTTCATGTGCCAGCATGTCGGATGTAAATCCAGTAGGTCCATATGGAACCATTGCAAATGGCCATCACGAACAGAGGATGATTCAGGAGGCCATGCCCCTGAAAACCACTATCACTTTGAATTGGGCTGTTTCGCGCAACTACAGGTCAATGCTGTTTGTTCCTTGAGCCAATCCTCTGAAATGTCAAGGTCAATGCTGTTTCTTGAGTCAATCCTTGCTGAAATGTTAAGACGCATGCAGACTGAAGGTGCGTAGCATCAGAACCACCTTATGGGGGGCACGTTGTTGTACAAGGGAAAACACTGAGCCTTGCATTCTCAATCTCCGATACTTTTTCCAATAATGGTCCAGAAACCAAACAACTATGCAGTTGGCTTCAGAAAACAATTCAGCCCAGGGAATCTGCAGACACGTGGTAGATACAGACCAAAGTTAAATCATGCAAACTGTGACGCTTATCATCTCAAGATGAAAACTGATTTTCCACAGTACTGAGATTGATAATTGAGTCTGCGGAGCAACTGAGGTTTAGAAATCCTTGGTTTCCTTTCACTGGGCAACTTTGGATGGTACATACCCTTCCTCAACTTCCAACTAGCTGCCACCTTGTACACACGGACATGGGTGTTAAAAACCTTCAATTCCAGGTGAACCTTTAGTGAAGGTATCACGGCAAAAGCAAAGCACCATAAACATGATATATTCACATAATGAGCTTGCTGGTACCATGTTCCACGGGCAGGTCCTATGATCTGCATCTTTGTTTTGCCATGACACACCCATGAGTGCAGTCATACCCACATATTCTGAAAAAGCATGGTATACACCAACAGGATCAGCACCCAAGGACCACATTCTGGCTTCAATCACATGGATTATGGACTCTGTTCTACTCATTCGAGGACTCTTGAATCATGCTACTGAGTGAAGTTCAACAACCAACAGGTTTGCTATATTTCCTGATTGCAGAAGCTCAGATGGCTCTACTGATCTCAAGCTCCATTGTTGCATAAACTGGTAAGTTCATCCAGATACTGATCATAATAAATAACTAAATTAAGATACCGAATTCATTTGATCCAGGAGCAGGGACAGGCAGCTGAACACCCTGAAAACGTTTTAACCTAGAAACTTGAAGGCCTGGCACAAGTAAACCGAACAAAACTGTATGCTCTCACATTTGCAACAGCCTGTTTTCATCTTTCTCCGAGGAAATCGCACTATGACATGGAGGAAAGGCTTCCAAACAAACCAGATTTTCCAAGCTTTGATGCACTGAAAAACATTTTCACATGCTCTGCTGATGCCCATGGTGTCACATTCATGTTCCGCCAAGTGTTGCAACAATTGGTGCTGTGCCTTCATATGATCCCCCAGGCTTTTGCTCATATCTCCAATTGCTAAACCATTTGATTATTGAGTTCTTGTACACATATCTAGATGTGTGATCTGCCTGGTTCATGAAAGTTATCTGAGAGACAACCAGGGGCGGATCCAGGGCCGGGCTGCCGGGCTGCAGCCCGGGGCGAGTCCATGTAGCCCCTGTAACATATGTGGTGTTTAGCCTAAAAAACTATGACCTTAATTAGACAAAAGGAGGCCTAGGAAGCAAGATCAGACTGTTTTCAAAGAACAGCTCAGATCAGACTGTTTTGAGCGTGAATCAGCAGCTCAGCCTGGTGACAAGCGCTAAGCCCTGCAAGGATAAAACAAAAAAAATTAGGATCCGCCTAAAGAAGAGAAAACAACCTTTGGCATGAGCATTTCTTATAGTACTGCACTTATTTTCAGCACATCAACAAACAAAAAAAAGTAAAAGGGAATCAACAACAGAACTAAAATAAAACTAACTACGAAGGATCAAAAGCTTTTTTTCCTGGTGACAAGACCAACTAAGAATTTCACCCTGCAAGGCGGCGACCCAAAACAAAAAAATTAGGCATTTGTGCCTAATTAGAAGTCTAGGAAGAAAATCATATGTACAGTTGCAGAATAGCTTAAAAGAAAATATTAGCAAATCAAAAATAAATGTAGTTCAAGCACTTATGATTCAAACTTCCATCTCTCATCTCTCAAAACATCAACTAACTCAAAAAAAAAAAGCCCACAAAGGAATCAACAACAGAACTAAAATAAAACTAACTACTTGAAGGATGAAAGGCAAATAGCTCAGAACAGGATACCCAGTAACTCTAACACACAAGCACACACACACTAACACAGTGGGTTTGGTGGCTGGAAAATGACTTGGCCTTTTCTGTTTCTCTCATATATATAGGCAGCCATGAGCTACAATCATGGCTGAGAATAGCCTCCTGATTAATGCAGAATATTACCTAAATAATCAGCCTACACTCCGTTTACTCCATGCTGAAATTTAGCTAAAGGAAATGCTATGAACCTAGACATTAGCATGCACCTAGACACACAGGATTACTTCCACCAAAGGATACACCAATCATTGGAATACCAAAGCAGCAAAAATTACACATCAAATGAGTTTGCGTATAGGTATTCTTCTCAAATAAAAACCATATGCCAGAATGCCCCCAATTGTGCACTGGAGTTGCATATCTAGCACCATCTTGTTTAATAAAATAACATAAATGGGTTTTGCTGCTATCTAATGTGTTTCAGAGCTTGAGGCTAAGGCAATTTGTAATGATTTCGCTGCTATCTATTGTTTTTCAGAGCTCCAGGCTAAGGCAATTTGTAATCACAACTACAACATCACAGCCAAAAAACATGCAACCCTCATGGTAAAGGAAACATGACAATTAGATTTGATGGGGTGGGAAATTTAACGAAAAATGCATAGCCTCAATAGTGTTAATTAAAGTAGAAATACAGAAAAATGATGAAAACAAAAGTAAAGAACATGGTCCAAGGCTTCAATAATTCTCTAGTAGATACTACATTACTATATATAAAGCAATAATGCTATTTTAATTTTCTATCAGCATCAGCTCAAATCCTCCCTTAACTAAGTGAAACTGTGACAAAACTTGTATATTCTTCCATAGTACATACATCTCATGAAAGTAACATGTAGCCGAATTATTTCCAAATAAGATGGAAAATTTCATGATGTAATAACTTTTTTTTCCTATGATAAGGCAGTACATACATCTCATGTGTGATAGCTGACGGACAGTGCCGTAGAGCTATATTGTGACATCTTATGGAGTCACAGGCTTATAGCCATACTTCATCCTATGATTATGAATTGTGCGCATTGAACTGCGCCTCTTGAGAAGATCAGTAATTCTCTGTGGATTCTAGAATTGCTCAAGACACCTTATAAGATAAAAATGATGATAACAAATATCCTAAAATTAAGCTAAATTAAGCTGCAGACTAAAAATTAAGGAGCACTATAAGAGTAGAAATGCAGCAGAACTTCAGCTTGGATAAAGAAATTACTTGCCTTGTTATTCGATAATCCATCACTAACGTGCTGCTTCATTTTAAATACTTTGGAATGATCTTCACTGCTTAACCAATCCCAAGCTAGAAAAGCATTCACTTTCCATAACTAACATCCACTAGTCATGTCCATCTTATATGACTTATTTGGAACCTACTAAACTCTAACTAATTTGTATTCAAGTATGCAATGTGCTTTGATCATGAAGAACACATCAAACTTCCATCAGCTGCTGTTGTAACAATAATGCTTTTCCAATCTCAAAGCCTGATCAAAAGATTTTTTGCACTATAAACTTCCATGTAACACTTACATAAAAGCATAACGATCCTTCTACTGTCTTGTGCTTGGCAAAGGGCTCAGATGCCTTTTGAATTCGGTGATATGGGTATACAAAATCTTGAGACCTTTGGATGGGCACTGCGTATCTGGTGGCTTTGCGCTCAGAAAACAGACCCAACAAGACCTTGGGCTGGACTCCCAATTCAAGTTCCAAGAAATGCACAGGCTCTATTTGATGTGGCTGTGGATCATGTGGTTGGAAATGGTGAATCTACTCGCTTCTGGTCAGATCGGTGGCTGAATGGTAATACCATTGCTGAGTTGGCTCCAAATTTGATCCAGTTGATTCCAAAAAGGGTTGCTAAATGCCAGACAGTGGCCCAAGCGCTCCATAACAGAATCTGGGTGGCTGATAATAAAGGGGCCTTAACAGTACAGATTCTCATTGAATATTTGTTGATCTGGGATCAAGTGGATGGCATCTTCCTTCAACCTGATGTTCAGGATCAATATCGTTGGGAATTCTCCCAATCTGGAACATACAGCAGCAAATCTGCATATGCTGCTTTTTTTAGGGATATGTCAGTTCCTCTCCTTGGAGAAGAATTTGGAAAAGTTGGGCTCCGCTGCGCTGCAAATTTTTCATATGGCTGGCTATCAACAAGCGATGTTGGACAGCGAGGGCTGCCCTACCCAGCCGCTTGTCCATTCTGTGATCAGGCTGGGGAGACAATCCATCATTTGCTTATCTCCTGTGTTTTCACACGGCAGGTCTGGGCCTTGATTCCTCAACATTTAAACTTGCTCGCTGTTGCGCCTTCGCCAACAACATCTAGTTTCTCCAGCTGGTGCAGGTTGGCTATCAGAAGGGTGCCAAAGGAGATGAGGAAGGGCTTGAATTCCCTCACCATTCTTGTTTCCTGGGAAGTATGGGGGATTGAAGGTTAGCCAGTGCTGTGGAAGGATGGTCATGTTTTATGTTCTGTCACAAGCATAGTGACCCTTAGCTGTGTGTGTTGGGGACCTGTGGAAGGATGGTCATGGTTCTTTCTCAAACATAGTCTGCCTCTGTGTGTTTTCTTCTTCTTCTATCTTAATGAAATGGCTCTGTATTTTTTCTTCTTCTATCTTAATGAAATGGCGCGCAGCTCTCTTGCGTAGTTCGAGAAAAAAAGAGTATTTGAACACCCTTAATTAAGACAGGCAATTGCTTGTGAAGCCATTTCTCCTCTTGATTAACAGCTCTTCCTATATGAAGTCCTCAACTCAAGCAAAGGTGAATAGAAGTACTTCACAATGACCAACCTTGCAACCTCTACCATCATCAAATCAGGGAAGCCAAGTTCTAGTACTATCCAATGCTTTATCCCATGAAAAACAACATAATTCTTCTAGTGAATGAGGGGAAATTCTAATCTAAGAGCTAGTAAAGTTCAGGCATAGTATTTGAAGTATCATCAATTGGAGGCTCCTCCAGGAGTACAACATAATAAAGATCCATTTGTACCAATGTTTAAAGAATGACCAAACATCATTTCTCGGAGAATACTGATCTTCAAAACTAATGTCTCCCCTTCTCATCCCTAATAGCACCAAAGTCACACCTCATACTCAATTGTAATTCCGCTAAGTCAAACCTTTCGATTATAGTCATTCACCACAACTCTAATTTCCTATTTACTCTTGTCCTACTTTGATTAACTAGCACTACATCGTCAGTAAAAGGCATACAAAAAGGAATATCTCCTTATACATCCCTTGTGATCACATCCATCATCAACACATATATACATAAGGGCTCAGAGTTGATCCATAATGAGCAAGGAGTAGATATGGGCACTTTGCGATTTGACAAATGATAGTTCTTGCAAACTTCAACTATAGTTGCATGGGCCTAGAGAAGCTATGTGTTTTAATAAGCGATCAACAATGTGGGCCTATGTAGCTTCAAGTAACTAACTTATCCACATGAAGCTTAGACTAAAGTTCAACATTATTTCACCATCTCGAACTCAGTGTTCCAAATTCACTCGTAATCCAAGTTGAATTCAAAGGTGTGGTATCTGTTTACTTATATAGCTTTTTTGGACCATATGACCCATCCAAGTTGACGTAATCCAACTCTCTAGTGTTAAGGATAAGGTCTTTTCACCTTGTTCTAGAGTCTTCTCTCCTATGTAACATATATTGCTCATCGGGGCTGGTGAATACACAAAGCTTCGTAATTCATAACATGGTAATAGAGCCCAGTTTGTACATTGTTCTTCTTTGATCCTAAGCATAGCTCCAGAATCGCCTCCCCTCACTACCCTCAAGAGGAGCAAGAGCAATCTTTGCCCTAGGGGAGGGAACCACTTAGCCATAGTGCAGCTGTAGCAAGTACCAGTAGGGGCTGCTGCTGCAAGCTCACCACCATGCATCGAGCCATCTTGAGATATAGATCGAGTGCCGCCACCTTAATTCAGGCCCCTGAGCCTCAAATCAAGGTAACCCCACCCCTCCATATCAGCCTCCTATGGTGTCGACCTGCTCCTCCATGCAGGAAGCGCCCCATCCGTATGCCAATCCACACACCTCCACACATTCGGACCTAACCTGCCATGGCCCCTCAGCATTGTGTCGCGCCGTGCTTTTGCACCCTATGCAACGTCGTGCCTCTATGGCCCTGCATGCTTCATCAAGCTCCAACTCCTGC